CCTTGCTCTAAATGTCAATGGAAAAAATGCCGAAACTGGTTTGGCTCAGTGGATAGAGCGTCGGTCTGTGGACTGAAGTTACCAGGTTTGATTCTGGTCAGGAGCATGTGCATTGGTTGCAGGCACATCTGCGTTGGGGGGTGTGCAGGAGGCAACTGGTCGATGTTTCTCTCTCATTGATGTTTCTAGCTCTCTATCCCTCTCTCTTCCTCTCTGTAAAAAATCAATAAAATATATTTTAAAACATAAATATCAACAGAAAAAATGTCCTCACCTGTGGGTTAAAAGAGCAAATTATCAACATAAAGATGCCCTAACCAGAAACCCTGCATTACACAGCAGCTTGTGGCCAAGGCCTGACCCAGACTATGGACCCTCTAGGCTGCTGGTGGAGTGGGAACCGGCCAGTGTCCTACCCACTTCCTTTGGCACTTGGTAGAGGCCCCAAGTCTCTCCGAGATGCAGAAACTCTCCGGAGTAATTGCTGGTGCCCCTCTGGCTCAGATATCACAAGCCCCAATCCTGAGTGGCAGTTCTGGGCACACCTGTGAGACCTTGCTTTTCAGCCAGGTGCCCGGACTCCCCAGCTGGCTCTCCTGAGTCCCTCGTGCAGATCCCAGCCTGTAGCTGCCTCAGGCAAGGAAGTCGGTCAAGACTCTCAATGTGACCAATCCTGAGCAGTCACATCCCAGGGAGGAGCCCTGTCCAATTTCCAGGTCTGGGAAAGCGATCAGAGGCTTGTCACACACTCAGGAGGTGGGGTGGAAATACCCACTCCCGCTCACAACTTCATCTTCACCCTCTAGGAGACCTGGCCTAAGGGTAGAAAGAGGGTGCAAATGGAGAGCAGCAAGGGCAGTCAGACAGGAGAGATCATTCTGAATGTAAAATTACCACCGACCTGGTTTCTACCAAGTGCACTGCAATGCTATTCAGCCTTGGGAGAGGGACACTGTGACCCGGGCAACAGCACGGATCTGCCAGGAGGAACCATGAAGAGCGAAATAAGCCCCTCATGGAAGCACACATGCTCTAGGATTCCACACAGAAGACATTCTTAAGAACAACAAATTCAGAGACAAGAAGTGCAATGGTGGGGGCCATGGGCTGGGGGAGTGTTTAATAAGCATGATTTTTGTTTTTCAATCCTCACCCCAGGACATGTTTCCATTGATTCTAGAGAGAGAAAGGGAGACACATCCATCAGCCACCTCCCATAAGCACCACGACCAGGAATGGAAAATGCCACCCAGGCATGTGCCCAGCCTGGGAATCAGACCAGAACGTAGAAGCACAGGACCAGCCACCGGCCAGCACACAAGGACCATCCTAACATGTGAGGGCAGCAGGGGTGTATGAGGGGGAAGAGGAAAGCAGAACCAGGTAAGCCCATGGTGCTGTGTGCCAGTCAGCACTGTCTCCTCCGGTAAACACCTGGCACCCACTTCAGGAGGCTCTGGCTTTCCTCCAAAGTGGTCAACTCCCCTGGAGCCAAAACGCCTGCAGGCTGGGTTGGCTTCTTTGAGGTTGGCTCCTGCAGTCCTTTAGGGCAGTGACTGTCAACCTTTTTCATCTCCCGGCACACACGAACCCCTCAGCCTCTGCAGCACACCAAACATCCATATTGGGCCAATCTGACAAAAACAGACATAGTTTGATGCATGGGCAGCAGAAAGCTATTGCTGTGATGGTGGCTGGGATTGTTTTACTGGACAATCGAAGGGAAAGGAGGTCAGTGCCCTGGCTAAAGAGTCAGCATTGCATGTTGTAAGAATTCCTGCAGCCACGAATTTACCAGTTGAAAAACATTGCTTGAAGCTAACAGGCTGTTTATCTGTATCTACATGTGAATTAGCAGATTTTCCCCCTCATATATATATTTATTGATTTCAGAGAGGAAGGGGGAGGGAAAGAGAGAGATAGAAACATCATTGTTGAGAGAGAATCATTAATCTGCTGCCTGCTGCATGTCCCCCAATGGGGATTGAGCCCATAACCCAGGCTTGTGCCCTGAGTGAGAATGGGACCCTGACCTCCTGGTTCATAGGTGAAAGCTCAACCACTGAGCCATGCAGGGCTACCAGTCATTCTGTATGGAAACAAAGGTAAGGAATGCAGGGGTGGTTACAATGGCCAACAGAAAACCAACAGTCAGCAATCCCTACACATGTGGGGAAGTGGAGTCCAGACAACTGGTTTTCCGTGGGTTGGGGTCAGTGTGGTCTCAGTTGTTTACAGCACGCGATTGATTTTGTGAATGAAGCCAATAGCAGGGAAGACCTAAGAGGTGCTCTGGGCTCAGTTGGCTTCTGCCTGTGGGTGTCTCCTGGGCTGAGGTCACTCAGGACTGTGCTCACCGCGCCCCCTGGTGGTCACCACACCTTGAGGACCCTGGGTTCCAGTAGGGATCTACCCCTCAATCCCTTTTGGTATTTCCTGCCAATGGATGTGTCACCCAGGGACCTGACCACAATCATGCTCTTGGGTTGTGAAAAGAACGACAGTGAGAGCAGTGGGAATGGGCACCACCGCATAACCCTCTCCTCTGCTGACTCCTTTCTAGACATGAACGTATTCAACCCTCCAACATGCTGAGGTTGTAATGCTTGACCTTTCCCATGTAGCAGGAGGGCAGTTAAATGCCAAGTGCAGGAAGACTCTTCCATTGGGAGGCACCAACCTGTAGTCTACTTTGTCCGACTTGGAGCACACACCTCCCGGGCCTCTCCCCCATCTGGGGACTGGATGCATGCCCGAGAGTGAGACCCCACAGTCCCGGCCTGGGGATGTGCCATTCCACCTGTGCCCGTCTTTCTCCTCTGCCCTGGCAAGAGAGGCCAGACACAACCTACAGAGCTCTTAACGTAGAAAACATTCAAGCCAGTAAAGAACTCTTTGTGAGTTTATTTGAGCCAAACTGCGGACAATGGCCGGGAAACAGAGATTTAATGGATTGGGACAATCTCCAGAGATTGGTGGTTTTTCACTTTGTTTTACACATTACAGTCAAAGGAGGGGACAGAGGTGGGTTCTAGTTCTCCACTGGTGATGGATTAGAGGGGGTGGGAAGGAAGCTCACTGGGGAAGGCCCTGGGATTGGATACAAAGTAAGGATAGACACATACTTTGGTGGGTGTAGGACAGGTAACAGTTAACAGTTCCCATGATGACAATGACAACAAATACATTTATGGCCTTTCTGCCACCCAGGCACATTGCTTGTGCTCTGATGGGTCTTGAAAAAGGGAAGTTACAAGTGACCCACATGCCACAGGTGCATTATCTTAGATGCCAAAAGACAACAGGCTCAGTAAACATGGAAGTTGATCTTGTCAGGGAACATACTGTCCAATGACGTGACTCCCCACCATAAACTGCTTTTTAATGAAAGGTTTTTAATTTCAGACCATCCTGTGTGGTCACTTTAGGTCTCTGAGTTTGCAAGACTGCCAGGCAGGCCTCCCCTGAGCTGGTAAGGGCAGCATGTGGCCCTTTTTCGTCCACAGACCCAAGATGGGCTCTGGGAACTGTGCGGACCTGGGCCTGGGCCTGGCCCGACCCCAGGAAAGGAACGTGTCATTTGAAGAAGCAGGTGGAGCCTGAGGCAGGTGCTGTCCATTGAGCCTCTCCACTTGGGGCTCACGCTCCAATGAACACTCAAGAAAAACAGCTCCTGCCTCCTGGCAGCACGGCCCTGCAGCCTGTGTGACCTGGAGCCCAGACTCCGAGGACGTGACCTTGATAGGCAGCCATCAAGGTCGAGTGCGAGTGAGAGACAGGAAAGTGTGTGGGAGTCGCCCCAGACTTTCAGGGGCATGTCAGCCTCCACAAAACACAGGAACATAAGCCTCATATGGACAAAAGATGGGCCGGTGGACGGAGCTACAAGGTGTCGGCTGCCTGCCCATTGCCCCCTCTGTTCCCGGAATAAGGCGGTCGGTCAACGAAGTGCTTTCAAGCTCTGCTTCTCTGCACATGTGTGAGCCTGTGCAACTGGAACATGGTTTCAGGGGGAGACATGTGCGAGCTACACCTGGTCATTACACAGCAGGTGTTCAGTGCCTCGCTCGGCCACTCCCCACTAACCTCAGGACGTCCGACCCTCTCCACTGTCCTCAAGCCCTCCTGCTGCCTTCTCAGTCATGGTCAGGGAAGGGCCTCTTCTCATAGCTGACGGGAACAGGACAGCAAGTGTGCAGTCCAGCCTGGCCAGTGTGGCTCCATGGTTGAGCATTGACCTATGAACCAGGAGGTCACAGTTCAATTCTTGGTCAAGGCACATGACCAGTTAGTGGGGTAGATCTCCAATATGAGGAGGCAGCCGATCAATCATTCTGTCTCATCCTTGATGTTTCTATCTTTGTCTCCCTTTCCTCTCGGAAATAAATAAAATTATATCTTAAAACAAGAAAAGAAAGAAAGAAAGGCTTGTGTTGGCCAATCCAGAAGACAGTTACTGCAGAAGCAAGGGAGGGAGAGCAGCCTTCCCTGGTGAAACTGCTTCCTCTGGTTCCATGAAACAGTCACTCTGCTTTTCCCGGGAGGAGGGGACTCCCAGGAGGGCTTGCTGGTCTCTGCTGCTCAAGGCCCCTTGTTACAGGCCCTCTGGGCCATTCCTACCGAGGTGCCTGGGCATGAACCCATTCTCCAGAACTTCTCCAGAACCCCCTCAGAACTCCCAGCCTGGTGGGGTGTGAGTGGGGTTGGGAGGCTAAAGGGGGATATGGAGCAGCAGAGGCTCCAGCTCAGGGCTCCAGGCCAGAGCTCAACCCCCTACAACTGGACGGGAAGTGTGTCCACCTGACACGCAGACGCTGGAGAGCCACAGGAGGGGCTGCTTGTGAGCAGTTCCCTGACTGAGTCACGCCCTGCAGAGCCGTTCGTGAGGTTGCACAACCCTCTCCCCTATAAATAGGGAGCACATTGGTCTCTGGAAGCCTGTGGCTCCAGCTGAGAGTCTCCTGCTCCTCCTCCTGCCCTCGCCCAGCCTGGCAGCCAGCATGAGGCTCTTCCACATCCTGCTGCTGCCTCTCTGCCTGCTCTTGGCCCAGGTGGGCCCAGGTGAGCTGGGGACCAGGGGGCACTCTGCCCAGGGCTGGAACCAGGAGAAGGAAGCTGTGAGGAAAGCTTGAGACACTGTGTTCTGACGGCACAGGCTTTGGGCAGCATCCACTGAACCCTAGGGCTCCATGCCCCCTGCTGGCAGCTACCGGACCCTCTCAGCCCCACAGGTCTTAGGCATCTAGAAAGGTCCCTCTCTGGGGTCCCTGACTCCACCTGCAGATCGCCCATCGAGGCGGGCCTCCTGTGCTGCTGACAGAGGGTCATGCTGCCAGCCCCAGGGCTCCCAGGTGCCCTGGTGTAAGCGGGTGCTGCCCGCCCCCCCCACAGGCAGCTCCCCACCAATGATCACCTGTGTGGGCAGTCAGGGCCCATGGGCACAGAGACCTGACCTGCAGAGCCCCTCATGCTCTGCCACCTGGGAAACCTCCCTAGGAGATGCCAGCTCCTCTGGGTCAAAGCATGATTCTCTGTTTACTAGCTGGGCTGAAAAAGGTAGCCTACAAAGCAGTTAATTATGACTAATCTTAACCCAACAAGCCTTTGAGTGCACGCCTGTGTGTGTGTGTGTGTGTGTGTGTGTGAGTGTGCTTGTGTGTGTGTGTGTGTTTGTGTGTGTGAGTGTGTGAGTGTGTACATGAGTGTGTGTGTGTGTCCGTGTGCTTAAGTGTGTGTGTGTGTTAGTGTGCTTGTGTGTGTGTGTTTGTGTGTATGTGTGAGTGTGCGTGTGGAGTAGCCATGCCGCATCTCTCAGGGCAGTTCAGTTCAGACTCAGAGAGCCCGGATGCCATATTTTCAACTCCCAGGTGGACTTGCCATCAATGAAGTCTCAGGGTGATTGGGAGCTTCCCATGCAAAGCACATAAACACCAGTGCTCCCCACAGTGCAGGAGTACTGGCCTCAGGCAGCACTCTGATGGAAGCACTAGCTGAGCCCTGCTGGGTGGTCTGGGGATTAAAATATCATCCTGTGCACCAAAAGGTTGTGAGGTTATGGCTTCGATTCCCTGGCAGGGCACATCCCTAGGTTGCAGGTTGAATTCCTGCTTGGGGTCCATTCTGGAGGCAAGAGATGAATGTTTCTCTCATACCCTCTGTCCCTCTGTTCCTCTGTCACCCTCTCTATCTCTCTCAAAACATCAACAGAAACATCTTCTCAGTTGAGAACTACAAAATCAATAAAGCAGGAGCTGAGCCTGTAGAGCAGGTAGTAAGCTCAGGATTAGCTCAGATATTCCAGGCGTGCTACTCTTTCCTCTCCTCTACAACACATCAATCCTTCTGCCCAAACTGGCCTTTTGTGCCCTCAGAATGAGGACGGGACGACTCAGGAAGGCCCCTGCCTTGCAGGGAGTGGCCGCTCTGCAAGGGGAAGAGCTGTGCCCATGGGGCTGAGGCTGGAACTCTGGTCACCTTGGGGCCCTGCAGGCACCACCTCTCCTGAGCTCTGACCTCTATGTGACATGTTCCCATTCGGGACAGGGCCCCAGGAAATGCCGTACCCACAAAAATATCTTCATGGGAATGGGATGCTCTCTGAGCAAGGTTGGGCGAGGTGTGGGGGACAATGATCCCCCATGCCTTTGCCTGTGATCATGTGCAGCCTCACAGTCTCTGTTTGACTCCCCGGGCCGTGGGCTAGGTGTTCCTGTGGCTGTTGGTGCCTTGGTCCTGGCTCTGTGGTTGTTAGGGTGGCTGCTGCCCCCATTCCAGCCTCTGCACACGGGGCATGGATGGCTGTGGGATCAGCATGATCACAGGTCCGAGCTCAGTGCACAGAGGAGCCTGCTGTTCCCGGGTCAGTGGGGTCCCCACCACACCCTGACTAACTTGGCCCTCTCCGACCCCTGATGGGCTCAGTCCATCCCTCTTCTGGATCAGCCATCAGAGCTCATTTAATCTGACCTGGTTGGTTAACAGGTGGGAAAACCGAGGCATACAGGAGTAGGCGAAGGAGAGCTACAGCCACGGCTGAAGACCTCAACACGTTAGTTCAGTTTTTCTCTCTCTCTAAAAAAACAAACAAAAACAAAACAAACAAAAAACAAACAAACAAAAAAACACGGGCATTGCCCGCATTTATTTCATGCAAGTGGCCTTTGTGTGAGGATAGAATGATGTCAGAATGACACAGTGACTCAGGTCCCTGAATCAGTTAGTCAGGAGACCAGCCCAGGTGGCAAGACATTAAGGCCATTCGAGGCTGCCCTGGCTGGTATCTCAGTGGTCAGAGCACTGGACAGCACACCACCCAGTTGTGGGTTCCATTCCCAGTCAATGGCCTTACCTGGGTTGCAGGTTCCTTCCCTGCCCCTGAAATGGCGCCTGGGGAGGCAACCAGCTGATGTGTCTCTCTCCTCAGTGTTTCTATCTCTCCCTTCCACTCTCTGAGAAGCAAGGAAAAATATGTTGGGGAAGATTAACTGAAAGAAAGAAGAAGGAAAGAAAGAAAGAAAGAAAGAAAGAAAGAAAGAAAGAAAGAAAGAAAGAAAGAAAGAAAGAAAGAAAAGAAAAGAAAAGAAAAGAAAAGAAAAGAAAAGAAAAGAAAAGAAAAGAAAAGAAAAGAAAAGAAAAGAAAAGAAAAGAAAAGAAAAGAAAAGAAAAGAAAAGAAAAGAAAAGAAAAGAAAGGGCAATCTGTGGCTGTCCACTCTGATGCCCTAACTGGAAACCAAACAGTGCCCTCCTGGTTCATGGGTCAATGCTCAGCCACTGAGCCACGGAGGCTGGGCTATTTGTTGGCCCTTCCCACTGTGTGGTTATCATGCTGATCATGGAGCCTAGTTTGTGTGAGCATTTCAGGTGGCTGGAGACCAAAGGTGGTGGCATGGTGGCTTGGTAGGCTAAGAGTGGATTTGATTGTAAAGGAGAGTGTCGAACTATGGTAGGAAACTGCATATGCCAGTTCACACGCTCAGTCAGTGCATCTAGGTTCCTGTTGCTCCACATTCACACCAACACTTGGTAATGTCATTCCATTGGAAGTGAACCATCTGCTCAGTGGGGTGCTCACTGGAGGGTTAGTGTGCGTTTCTCTGGTAAATGACGTGGTGGGTACCTTTGTAGGTGGCTCCTGGCCACAGGGTGCCTGTTGTGAAGTGCCCCTTTGTCTTCTGCCCACATTTCCTATAAATTACCTGTCTTTTCTTCCTGATTTGTAGCAGTTCTTTATACCGTCTGCAGACAAGCACTTTGGCAGTCAGATGCACCGCAGACACCTTCTCCCTGGTACCTAGATTGTTCACTGTCTTCATGAAATCTTTCCCGAGAGGGTTTTATCGCTGCTGTAGAGGCTGGTAAATGTGTCATAGCTTTTCCTTTAGGGTTTAGGCTCTTGGGCAGCTTAGGAAATCCTTTCTAACCAAACACATGAAGAAAAGCTTTGAGGGTTTCTTTTGTGACCTTTCCCCCTTTTACACCTGGGTGTCTAATGGTATGGTGGGGAGAGGGGAGCTAAGGGTGAAATATGTTCAATATGGGTCCTGGCTGGGCAGGGCCTCAGCATGTGGGTGGGAGGGGTGACACAATTCCATCCAGGACTCCAATCAGTGCAAAGCCAGGGCCTGAGAGCCACTCCTAGGGACATGCTGGGCGGCCTGGTTCTCTCGCAGAGTTGGCAGCCAGTCCAGGGCCTTCTGTTTGGAGAGTCTCTGCTTCAGGGAGGAAGGCAGAATACATTCCAACCGGAGAGAGCAGTGAGAGCAACACAATGTGCAGGTGAAAGGAATACCTGAAACCCATACTATTTCATCAGCCAATGTCACCCCAATAAATTACACTTGAAAAATTTTAAAAAAACGAATAAATATTTTATCCTTTTGCTTTTATTTAGAAAGAAAAGGAAGAAAAAGACACAATGAAAGAAAACAATGGAAGCTCATTGGGTAGCCATCATTTCCTCCTGGCACTGAAGGGCAGGACCTGGTAGAAATGGGGCCAGGGTGGGATGGGGAAGGGGTGGGGAGAGGAAGTGTTGGGATCACATGAACGCCTAGCACACAGCCTGGAGCATTTCAGCTGTGCTCACTGGTTAGAGAGACACTTAAGCATGAACACAAAACATGTGCATGGGCAGAAAACCCCAGTAGAAAATTACCATGGTGGTTTAAAAACAAGGGTGGATGAATATGTCCTAAACTATGTAGGATGCTCATGGTGAATAAAATAATACATTGACCAAAGGTGGCAGAATTTGGAACTCCTGTTCCAAATTAGGAATTCAAATTTGTTACTTTTTCTTTTTTAAAGACACACGTAGCCCTGGCTGGGTGACCTAATTGGTTGGAGCTTCCTCCCATGCATGGAAAGGCTGTGGGTTCAATTCCTGGTCAGGGTACATACAGGTTTCCAGCTCCATCTCCACTTGGGGTGTATCTAGGAGCAACAGATTGATGTTTCTCTTTCACAGATATATTTTCTCTCTCTCTGTCTTTCCCTTACTCTCTAAAATCAGTAAACATATCCTCAGTACAGATTCTTTCTTAAACAGATGTGAGTATTTGTGGAACAGAGCAAGTGTTTTGGAGATAGGGTAAAGCTGAGCAACCTTATTTGGGGACAACTCAGTGCTCAGGACAGCTGTCTTGACAGAAGGAAATCAACTCACAGCTCTGCTCCTCATCTTTAGCTTTGGTTTAGCCACAGCGGTCTAAGACCAAGGACATAGACCTCATATGGAGGACATAGATCTCAGACAGATGGCACAGACCTCAGACAGAGGACATAAACCTCAAAGGGATGACATAGACCTCAGAATGATGACATAGAACTCAGAGGGCACAGGCTTAATATGGAGGACACAGACCTCACACAGAGGGCACAGGCCTTTGCATGAGCAGCCCCAGAGTTCAGTGGGGGCCCAAACTCTAGGAAGGCACTGTCTCTGCAGTGCTCTGGGAAGATCTGTGTGTTCTGTGTCACCAAGTGTCCTGCAGTCATGTTGGCTGTGAGCCAGGACCCTGACATGTCCTCTCTGCCTCCTCACAGGTGCCGGCCTCATCACGAGTCTGTTTTACAGGACTCCAGAATACAAATGCGCCAAAAGTGGGGGGACATGCAACTTCTCCCCATGCCCTCTCTACACCAAGCATATGGGCTACTGCTACAGTGGAAAGGCCAAGTGCTGCATCTGAGCTGGAGACATGGGGGAGACATATCCAGAGGAACAACCTGTAAGCATTGTCTTCATAAAATAAAACATGAAAAGAAGCCTCCTGAGGACCCAAATGAACCCTGTGTCTCCTTTGGGAAGAGGTTAGGAAAGCCAGGTTACAAAGGACACAATCCTGCTAAGTGAATTGAGCCAGTCAGAGCAAGAGAAGCATCACATGATCTCACTCATAGGTGGAGTCTGGTGAACAACATAAACTGATGATCAGAGTGGATACAGAGCCATGGAAGCATGGAGCAAGTCGGGAGTGTCTGAGGGAAGGCAGGGGAGACTGCGTGGGAGGGAAGTGACCATCAAGGACCGTGTATGGGGAGATGCAGGACCCATGGCCACAGACAATGAGACGCTGGGGGCCTGGGGCCGGGGGTCAATAGGGGAAAATAGGGGACATATGTAATACTTTCCACCGTAAGGATTTTAACAACAAAGAAAGAAGTGACACAGGCCAGGCCACCAAAGCCCAGTAAAGGTGGGTGGGGAGGGTGAGGACCACAAGAATGTCACCTCTTTTCACTTCATTACCAAACTACCATGTGAGATGTTCAGACGGTCCACCCGCAATCAGGAGTGCCTGAAGAGGGCGCAAATGACACAACTTCCCCCCTCCTGGGCCCAGCAGGGTCTCCCCCCAAATCCAGTGCACCTTCCACGCCTGGCCAGGGGCAGTGGGTTGGCCAAGCTTGGCTTTTGAGCATGTCTGGTAGGACTATAAAACCACTCCACTTCTGCCAGGCCAGCGTGGTACACGGGTTGAGCATTGACCTATGAAGCAGGAGGTCACTGTTTAATTGCCAGTCAGGGCTCATGCCCAGGTTGTGGCCTTAATCTTCAGTGAGGGGCATGCAGAAGGCAGCCCATCAATGATTCTCTCTCATCATTGATGTTTCCATATCTCTTTCCCTTCCTCTCTGAAAATATATTTTTAAAAATAATAATCATATATAATGAAGAGTTCATATGCAAATTGTCCCTCACACCCTTGAACAACATGGCTGCCCCCATGTGGTCACTGATGGCTAACACAAAATTGCCAGTGGGCGAGGGTGGCAGTTGGGAACAACCAGGCTGGCAGGGAGGCAGTTACGTTTTGATTAGGATGGCAGGGGAGGGGTTAGGGGGTGATCAAGCTGGGAGGCGGTTGAGCAGTTGACAGCCAGCAATCCTGGATTGTGAGACAGATGTCAGACGGTTCATTTAGGCCTGATTCCCAGCCAGCAGTTGGACATCATTTGAGGGGTCCCAGTTGGTGAGGGTGTAGGCTGGGCTGAGGGACAACACCCCACACACACGCGCGCGCGCGCACACACACACACAAATCTCATGCACCGGACCTCTAATAAACATATAAGCCCCTCCCCTTCCATTGCACTCTCCAGGCCTAAGGTTTGGGCTCCCGCAGGACAACTGTGGACCCTCCCACACTCACACCATCTGTTCGCGTCACTCAGAGTACACCTGCTGCACTGCCCCTAATGGACCACCTCCTGCACCTACCAGCCTGCAGGCAGCCTCCTCCCCATCCACGCCCACAGCTGGGGCCCACAACATTCCCCCAGCACCCCCTCTCCATCACTAGGTCATATTAAGAATGAACTTCCACTGTTCTAAAAATTTTTGCCCTCACCCTCGCTCCTCCTCAGTTTAGACAAGACACCCCTGTTGGGGCAGAAGGTAGAGAGAATGCTGGTTCAGGTGGTGGCTCTTCACCTACCCTCAGGCAGCCTCAGTGACTGAGCTACCCTTTGAGGTCTCCACTGCCTCTCCCTGCCCTGGAAAAGCGACCGGATCTTAGAGACAGTGCCAGGAGGGGCTGGAAATATGAGGGACACAAGGTAAAGGATAGGCTTGTCTAAACACTAGGCTGTACACCTGACACAAATAGAGAATAATATTGGATGTAAACTATAACTGAAAACAATTTTAATAAAATAATTTTAGTTGGGAAAAATTAAAAAGCTAAGCTATCCTGAGGACTACTCTGTCTTGTGAAGAAGTGGCAGGAAAGCTCTCAGCATCTAGATTCCCCACCCCTGTAAACAATAGCTGATGAATGACACACCTTTCTTCTAGAACATCCCACGTGATGGAGGAAGCAGAGGAGGTGGCATTAGAAACTCCTGAGTGATATCTCAGACCCCAAACAGTGCTCAGTGGTTTCTTTAACACCTTTTGTCAGCATCGAACCTCACACCAAAGCATCAAGGATTCGATTCCCAGCCAAGGACAACACATTCCTGGGTTAGCTGACCCAGATCTAGGTGGGGTGTGGAGGCAACCAATTGGTGTGTCATTCTCAACTCTCTCTCTCTCTCTCTCTCTCTCTCTCTCTCTCTATATATATATATATATATATATATATATATATATATATATATATGTGTGTGTGTGTGTGTGTGTGTGTGTGTGTGTGTCTATATGTCTGTCTGTCTGTCTCTCCTCTACACTCTAAAGAAATTCAATGGGAGAATAGCCTCTGGTGAGGATTAACAAAAACAAAGCAAACCTCCCTTCTGAGAAAAGCCTGGGGAATGGGGAAAGAAATGATTGAATAATAGAGGGTGGGTGCTGGCCCTTGCCCAACTCTGAGACCAGGCTTATCCCCACTTGGGGTGCATCCTCTATGGGATGTAGTGGGTTGCACCCAGGAACACCCAGGAAATTGTCTGGCCCAACCTCTGGCTGAACCTGAAACTCACCGAGTCTCTAGGACTAACATTTTATAGGAAATACAGAAGTTAGAGAAACCAGTAAAACTGCAGCTCAAGGACACAATCGGTCAAACCCAGAATGTGAGACTTGTGACAGGTGACCTGTTCCCGAGGCCCTCCAACAACAGAGGGAACAGAGAGAGCAAGTCACAGGGCAGGAGAGGGACCAAACAAACCCACAGGCCACAAGGGACCCTGTGCTGACGAGGTCCCTTACAAACAGCAGTTCCAGAGCCAGTTAAAAGGGGTAAATGTGCCCTGGGCAGCATGGCTCAGGATGGACCCTGTCAGGGTGACTGGATGGGGCAGGCTTTGCAGCAGAAGGGACCCATGCATGGAAGCTGAGCATTGGAGTGTGACAGGTGAAACACCTGCTATCCTGTCAGCTAAGTGATTCCTGACTGAGCTCCAGGGTCCCGTATGACAGTGCCCCCTATTCAGCCTTGAAATGTGGTTCAGCCTCAGAAAAGAGGGAAATTCTGATCCTTGCTACCACACAGATCCACCAAGAAGAATCAGGTGCAGTGTAATAAGCCCAGCACAGAAGCACAAATGCCATAGGATTCCACACAAAAGACGTTCTTGCACTCATCAAACTCAGAGACAGAAGGTGCAATGGTGGTGGCTGGGGGCCAGGGGAAGGAGGAGTGAGCGTTTGGTAAGCACAGAGTTTACTTCTTTATAGAAGTAAAGAAGTCATCTTTACTTTTTTTTTTCACCCTCAATCCTCACCCTTGGACATGTTTCCATTGAGAGAGAGAGAGAGAGAGAGAGAGAGAGAGAGAGAGAGAGAGAGAGAGAGAGAGAGAGATCAGCACCTCCCATATGCACCCCGACCAGGAATAGAAACTGCCCCCCAGGGATGTGCCCGGCCTGGGAATCAGACCAGAACCTTAGGAGCACAGCACCAGGCTCCAAGCAGCTGAGCCACCGGCCAGGGCACAAGGACCATCCTAACATGTGAGGGCAGCAGGGGTGTATGAGTGGGAAGAGGAAGGCAGAACCAGAAAGCCCATGGTGCTGTGTGCCAGTCAGCACCGTCCGCTCCCGTAAACACCTGGCACCCAGTCCAGGAGGCTCTGGCTTTCCTCCAAGGTGGTCAACTCCCCTGGAGCCAAAACGCCTGCAAGCTGGGTTGGCTTCCTTTGAGGTTGGGTCCTACAGTCCTTTAGGGCAGTGACTGTCAACCTTTTTCATCTCCAGGCACACACGAACCCCTCAGCCTCTGCAGCACACCAAACATCCATATTGGGCCAATCTGACAAAAACAGACATAGTTTGATGCATGGGCAGCAGACAGCTATTGCTGTGATGGTGGCTGGCATTGTTTTACTGGACAATCGAAGGGAAAGGAGGTCAGTGCCCTGGCTAAAGAGTCAGCATTGCATGTTGTAAGAATTCGTGCACCCACGAATTTACCAGTTGAAAAACATTGCTTGAAGCCAGCAGGTTCCTTATGCATAGCTACATTTGAATCAGCAAGTCATTCTTAATTTTTAAAATATATTTTTATTGATATCAGAGAGGGAGAGACAGAAACATCAATGATGAGCGTGAATCATTAATCTGCTGTCTCCTTCAGGGAGCCTACGGGGGATCTAGCCCACAAACCGGGCCTGTGCCCTGACCGAGAATAAAACAGTGATTCTTGGCTCATGGGAGGAAGCCACAGGACCTAGTTGTAAGCGTGTTGGTTTGGAAGTAAAATTGACGTTGGGGGGTTGCCGTGGCCCTAGCCTTGCTCACCCTTCGTCCTGAGCTTGCAGGCTGAGCAGTCTGGCGTGTCTGGCTTCTAACCTGGCTTCCTCACCCTCTCAGAAAAGAGACAGAGGGTTCATGTGGGTCCGAGGAGACATACTGAGAGAAAAGGTTTTCTTGTGGGAAAGCAAGTAGTTCCTGTGACTTTGTCTCCACCTGGCTCCAGCTCAGATGCAGCACACAATCGAGAATTGTTCACAGTCGCCATCTTTCTTAAGGTATGCTGGGCAGTAGTGATAATAGCACCTACCCTTTGGGCACAAGGGTTTGCTAGAGAAAAACCCCTGGAGGAGGCCAGCACCTGTGAGGAGGCAAAGAAGACACATCAGGCTCCTGGCTCACAGCCAACGTGACAGCAGGACACTTAGTGACACAGACACACAGCTTATCCCAGAGCACCACAGAGACGGTGCCCTCCTAGAAATGGGGTCCCCACTGACCTCTGGGGCTGCTCATGCTAAGTCAGTACTCTCTGTCTGGGGTCTATGCACTCTGT